CCCTTTACATTTTTTTTTTTTTTTTTTGTTGTTGATAATTTGAATAGTATTCTTATTTTAAATATAATATTTATTTTGATTGTTATTTGATGTAGTGATATCGTTACACTAGTAAAGCCAGTATTGGATGGGTGTGAGAGAGTTTAGTGCAAAGCTCAATGAATTGTAGAGCTAGAGTTACAATTATTTAACTGATTGATAAAATAGAGCAATTTCGAATAATACATCGACAAAATTAAACCATTTATGTTTTCCCTTTTTCAAAAACTCATCGTGAAGGTGTAAATTGATAATAAAAAGAAATATAAGAAACTGTTTAATCATTGAATCATTAAATAATTTGAATATTCATATCATTCGCCCAACATTTTTACAGCGATTTATTTGGTTAGTTCTTAACACAAGATGCACTTCCTTTGCATGGTAACTAGTGAGGTATGCTATTTGCCCTCCTTTATATTTTGTGATCTCCTCGTATCTTTTTAAAAAAAATTCTACCTATAGCTCTTATTAAGAGCAAAGAGATTAACCGGACGGGTTGGGTCAAAAATTTGAGTGGATTAAAGTGTGTTAAATAAAAGAAAATTTTACCTCATACATCAAAGTTTTACACCTTATTTATTATAAATAAAAATCTTTTAAAATATTATTTTCTATAGCTACGTTTTAATTTTTATAGCAAAATATGTATTTATTGGTCACTCCCTACCGTTAAGCCATTAAATACGTTATCTAACATTTTTCTCTCCTAAAATCACCGTATAGTATCAAAGTTCTCTCTCCATGATCTCTCTTAGAATGCCATTTTCTTTCCCATTCTATAGCCACGATTCTCCTTTTATCTTCTCCATTGTCTCTCTCAATTTTCAATATTTTTTACTCCAAAAAGTTGTGGTAAGTGTTAAAGTTATTAGCTTTTTTGCGGTACTGTGCTTCTTCTTTTTCTCTTTACTATTTTTTTTTAAATATTCACCATTGTTATGCTTTCACCAGAAAACTTGAAATTTCCTATTCCAATAGCTGATTCAATAACTCCGAAGAGGGTTACCCGAGGTATACTCACCAATGCACTCAATTTCGATGGGCCATCTTTCGATTTGCAAATCACTCAAGCGGAACATATATTTGCAGGTTTAGCAACAATAATTGTTGCAGAAAGGAGAACAAAAATACGCAATGACACACCGAAACAAGGCCAATTTGAGAAATCTTCGAAAGAATTAACACTTTCTGATGCGAAAAAGAGAAGAAAACTTATGGATGATGCTTCAGGGGGTAAGGGAAAAGAGGTCGATACAGGAACTAGCTCAGAAACACCGAACGAAAAGGTAATTGTAGATGTATTTATATGTATTTGAGTCCGCATACATTGATTATTACTTTCTACAATAATTTTCTCTTCTTGTATGTTGTTGTCATTATATGTATTCAATAGTGCCTACACTGATTTTTACTTATTACAGTGACTTTTAACGGTTGTATTTAGATGTATTTTAGTTCATTCAACAACTTTTTAAAATACACTAGTTGTTCTAATTTTAGCTATGTATTCCAACTAAGTGTTTTCATTTGTATTCTAAAGCCAACTGTATTATGTTGTATTTAAAACAACAATCATTGTCATAACTCGCATTTTGTGGTAATTATCAATACATTATATTTGTAAATCATGACTGAGTTATGTATTCCAAATTATTGTATTCATCTATATATTCAACCATTTATTTTATCTTTTTAATTTTTGTTGTATGGAAAAAATAAAACTCTTTGTTAAACACCCGCCTATTTTATCACCGCATATCAGTTCCTACACTAACACAGACATAGTCTCTGACCTCAAAGAAAAGCTTACTCCAGAGCAGTACAAAATATTTGGTACTACTTGTTTTGGAAGTTTCCTCGATATGAAGCACTATGAGGTTCAACATCAATTGTTCAGGTGCTTCATGGTTCTGCAGCTGGAATAAAGTCATGATGATTCATTTTCAATATATGTGAATGGAACAATATTATACTTTTCAATTAGGGAGTTTGCGGTAGTTACTGGTCTTAATTGTGTTAGTGACGCTGAAGATTTTCAATTTAACACAGAGATGCCTAACATGATTGTGGATACATACTTTGATGGTGCAAAGAATGCCAAGAAAAAAGATTTATTGGAATGCTTTGATGACAATAATTGGGGTTATGACAACGGTGGAGATGCCATTAAAATAGTTGTATTGCATTTCATACATACTTTTATATTATCCACCGAGAAGAACTGCACAACCATCCCAAGACTACATTTTGACTTGGTCGAGAGCGAGAGATATTCTGATTATCCATAGGGTAAGGATGCATTTCAGGCCCTTATTAGATCTATTAGTAAGAAGATGGATTCTCAGAAGAAGTATTACAGGATAGCTGGGATGCCTCTCGCTATGCAAGTATGATTCTACGAGTGTTATTCAAAGGTTGACTCCAAAATTGCACTCCGAGTTGATAACCGAATTTCCAGAATACTCAATTGGAAATTCACAGTCAACCAGCCAACTTATACTTACTTGATGAACGGCATGTTCAGCGACTAGGGAAACTTGGTAATTTACTATTATTTAATTGACTGGTATTTTAGTCAACATATATTTCTATTAGTAAAAACAGTATTGAAATTAAAAATGAAATGCAGTTTAATATATCATACATCAATGTACATGTTTTCATAATTAACTGGAATACAGTAGAATACATAATACAGTGTTAAAATTTAAAACTAAATACAGTTGCATACATCATACATCAATGCTTACTTTTCAAAATAAACTGGAATACATTAGAATACATAATACAGTTTACAGCTATATATTTAATTCAATATTGTTAATTTTATATACAATACAACTGAATACATTTATATAGATAATTTCCCATATACATAAAGCATATTACATTAGTAATCATATATCAAGCGTGATTTGCATTGAGTGTATGTCTGTTTTTAGATAAAATACAACAACATTCAACCAAACGCTAGAGAGCTTGCCGTTATTCAGTTTCCTCTGGATGGCGTTGATGAAGACAAAAGTCCTATTCATACAGACAACAATGAAGATGATTCTGATGATTTTAGTCCTACACCGTCTCTTCAGCCTAAGAAGAAACATGATGCAAGCGTTAGTCCATTTTCATCTCCACCTCACAAAAAGCGCAAACAAAAACTAATTGATCCCTCAACTGTAGAGAGTTCAATTCCACATGTATCTGCAATACCTCAAGCCAAGTTTCCTCCTACTTCTAATATTGAAATCAAGGAAACTGTATTGAGTGTTAAGAAGCCAGCTGATTCTAAATCTGATGATTTATCTGCTTTGAGGCAGGACCTAAATTTATTCAAGGATTATGTAAGTATTGTTAAAATATATTCAACTTTACAGTTTATGTATTAACTTTTATATATGTTTCTAACCTATCTTTAATTGTTTGTGTATTTATTAGGTAATGAGCGAGTTCACTTCTCTATGATCATTGATCAATGAAAATTTTAAAAAACTTTCTAAACATATTAAAGCCAATCAGAATATAGAAAGGGTATACCAAAGATAGAAATATATTGGGAGACATGATGGTGGTATTCAAATGTCAACCGAGGCCAACTTGCATGATAATCCCAAAGTCCAAGCACAACATGATATAGCTGTTGGGGAGAATTCAGAGGTTAATATTTTAAAACCTATTTAGTATATATGTAGTATAGTGATACATGTGTAATCAATGTATTTATATGTTGCTACAACTATATTCATGATTTTCAGAATACATTTATATACATGTGAATACAGTGTTATATCTGTATTCATGATTTTCTAAATATATATTGTAAATCAGCTTTTACTATTCTTCAGTTTAATCATGTATACAACAACATACATATTTTAGAATACACCTATATACATGTAAATACATTGTTATATATGTATTCGTGATTTTTAAATACATATTGTAAAACAACTTTTACTATTCTTCATTTTAATCATGTATACATCAACATACATGATTCAGAATACACTCATATATATGTGAATACATTGACAGAATACAAGTCCGTATACCTACTATGAATTTATGAATAAATATTTTTAATATAATTTGATTTGGATGTATCCAGAGAAATACATGTATCTAGTTAAAATAGCATATGGATGTTCATCGGCATGAATGTCTGTGTTCAGCTTCATTTCCGTAGCCTTAACATACACCTAATAGAATACATTAATATAGCATATATTTTAAAGAATTGTATTTATCAGATTAGATTAAAAATATTTCTTCATAAGTTCATAGTAGGTGTGCAAACTTAAATTCTATCAATGTCTTCACATGTATATGCGTGTATTCTGAATCATTTATGTTGCTGTATACATGATTAAACTGAAGAATAGTAAAAATTATTTTATAATATGTATTTAGAAAATCATGAATACATATATAACAATGTATTTATATGTATATAAGTGTATTCTGAAATATGTATGTTATTGTATACATGATTAAACTAAAGAATAGTAAAAGCTATTTTACAATATGTATTTAGAAAATCATCAATACAGATATAACATTGTATTCACATGTAACTATATTTTGAAAATCATAAATATAGTTATAGCAACATATAAATACATTGATTGCACATGTATCATTATACTACATATATACTAAAGAGGTTAAAAATTATTAACCTCTGAATTCTCCCCAACAGTTATATCATGTTGTGCTCGGCCTTTGGGATTATCATGCAAGTTGGCTTCGATTGACATTTGAATACCACCATTATGTCTCCTAGTTTATTTTTTTCTTTGGTATACCCTTTTTGTATTCTGATTGGCTTTAACATGTTCAGAAAGCTTTTTAAAATTTTTATTGATCAATGATCGTAGAGAAGTGAACTTGCCCATCACCTAATAATTACTCAAATAATTAGAGAAGGGTTAGAAACATATATGAAAGTTAATACAAAAATTATAAAGTTGAATATGTTTTAACAATACATACATAATCCTTGAATGAATTTAGGTCTTGCCTCAAAGCAGACAAATCATCAGATTTAGAATCAACTGGCTTCTTAACACTCAATACAGTTTCCTTTATTTTAATATTAGCAGTAGGAGGAAACTTGGCTTGAGGTATTGCGGTCACATGTGGAATTGGACCCTCTGCAGTTGAGATATCAATTAGCTGTTGTTTGCGCTTTTTGTGAGGTGGTGATGAAGATAGACAAACGCTTGCATCACGTTTCTTCTTAGGCTGAAGAGGCGGTGTAGGACTAAAGTCATCAAAATCATATTCATTGTTGTCTATATGAATAGGACTTTTGTCTACATCAACGCCATCCGGAGAAACCTGAATAACAACAAGCTCTCTAGCGTTTGGTTAAATATTGTTGTATTTCATCTGAAAATAGAAATACACTTAATGTAAATCACGCTTGATGTATGATTACTAATGTAATATGCTTTATGTATATGGAAAATTATCTATATAAATGTATTGTATACAAAATTAACATCATTGAATTAAATGTGTAGTTGTAAACTATATTATGTATTCTACTGTATTCTAGTTAATTTTGAAAAGTACGCATTAATGTATGATGTATGCAACTGTATTTAATTTTTAATTTTAACACTGTATTATGTATTCTGTTGTATTCCACTTAATTATGAAAACATGTGCATTGATGTATGATGTATTAAACTATATTTTATTTTTAAATTCAGCACTGCTTTTACTAACAGAAATATATGCTGACTAAAATACCAGTCAATTAAATAATAGTAAATTACCAAGTTTTCCTGGTCATTGAACATGCCATTCATCAAGTTGGCTGGTTGACTGTGAATTTCCAATTGAGTATTCTGGGAATTCGGTTATCAACTCGGAGTGCAATTTTGGGATCAACCTTTGAACAACACTCGTAGAACCATAGTTGCATAGCGAGAGGCATCCCAGCTATCCTGTAATACTTCTTCTAAGAATCCATCTTCGTGCTCATAGATCTAATAAGGGCCTGGAATGCATCCTTACCCTAAGGATAATCAGAATATCTCCCGCTCTTGACCAAGTCAAAATGTAGTCTTGGGATGGTTGTGCAGTTCTTCTCGGTGGATAATATGAAAGTATGTATGAAATACAACATAATTATTTTAATGGCATCTCCATCGTTGTCATAACCCCAATTCTTGTCATCAAAGCATTTCAACAAATCTTTCTTCTTGACATTCTTTGCACCGCCAAAGTATGTATCTGCATCCTGTTAGGCATCTTTGTGTTAAACTAAAAATCTCCAGCGTCACTAACACAATTGAGACCAATAACTACCACAAACTCCCTGATTGAAAGCATAATGTTGTACCATTCACATATATTGAAAATGAATCATCATGGATTTCTTCCAGCTCCATAACCATGAAGCACCTGAACAATTGATGTTGAAC